CTAGCGTCTCGCTGTCACGGCGCAGCGACGGGGGGGTGCGGCAGAGACGGCGGCGACGGCCGTCCCTCCCCCTCTCCCTCTCCTCGTCGGCGTCGACGGCGACGACTGCGTCGGCTTCGTCCGAGGGTGGATCCGTCGGCGGTGGCGGCCACCGCAGGCAGATCCGGCAGCGGCGCTCCCTCCGCCGCCTCTCTTCTCCTCCGGCGGCGGTGTTTTCTTTTTTTGCAATTTTTTCTATCGCTATTGCTAACCGAATAGGATTGTGGATGGACGAAAAACGGACGAAAATTAGGTGTGACGACCGGAAAAATATGAATATTTATATTAGTTATAGATATAGATATAACAACGTCTTGGGATAAACATTGTTTGAGGAGTGAGGTTCGTACAGTACAAATTATAAATTGCATCATCGCATATGAAAAAAAGAGTGAGGTAAAACTCTCCGCATCATGGTGCAAATGAATGCAAGATAAAATTCAAATTAGTAATGATACTAAAGATTGTTTTGGACCATAACTACACTGTAATTTAAATCTCAGACCAACTGATCTTGCGTACTAAAAGACGTCTAGCCCTGATTAGAAATAATCGAAGAATGTTGTTGTGGTCCTCTGTCACGTCAACTCTGCCTCCGTTGACAGTAACCAACAAGATAGATCAATAGAAATTCGTAAGCAAAACAAAAAGTCAAACTGTACAAAAAAAATTGCTATAGTAGAAGATACATAGTCCATGCAGATAAGGAACGATTAATTTTTTTAGACGGAAGGCCAGAAGGCCAAATTTTAATGAAAGCTGACAGCGCAGTAGATGGAAAACCGACAGGAAAATGCATTGTACCGGCAAAAATTATATTTCTGTGACCAACAGAAATTCCCGACAGAAAAATTATCACTGAGAAATTCAATTTTCCTGGGGAACACACAGAAATATAATTCCTGACGGTTATTGCTTTGAGTGACCTCACGGAAAAAATTATTAACGTCAGGTTTTTGTAAAGTGCTTCCTGACGTGCAACCGACGGAAAAGACCGTCACTGTTATTTTCTCTGCCGGTGTGGCCGCGTTAGAAATTTCGACTTTTTAGCTTAAAAAAATAAAAACCAGAATGTATGTACAATGTACCTGGCAATTTAGATCAATACATGAATATTTGTCACTTAGAACACATACGAAACAACGATTAATACATCAAAATTTAGCTTACAAAACTTAGATCAACGTTTCAGTATCAAACTCATTCTTCCAAACTGAAAATAGTAATGTACAAAGGATTCATGGAAAATTTCTCACGTTCAAGACCACTTCATCAACTAGGATTAAATTAGGGGAGTACATGTATAAGAAAAGTGTCTTCCGACAGCAACTTAAGTTTTATTCTACCTTGGTGTTTAGCATGAACAGGAAGGGAAATTAAAGTGAGGTCCAATTGACAGATGAGTTCTCTTTATTTTTTAAGAACTACTCCCTCCATCAAAGTTTAATCATCCTCTAAGCAAAGGGCACCAAGACCAAGCATACCAAAATATTCAATCATTCTCAGATTAATCCTTAATCGGTTAAGGTGCTTCATCGTTTCACGTCCTGTGAATTGATCATATTTTAAATATTGCATTCCATTGCAGCAACAAAAATTAATTATAGTTGATTTCACGCAATACATTTAATGATGTACATTTACATTTTAACAAATAAACAAAGAGATACATGTTAGACAATGATCATTTTGGGAAGATCTCAAAAACCTTAGGGGATGATCATGATAAGATTGAGGGAGTAAATGATAATGATAGACTAACATTGTTTCCTTCATTTATATGCTAATAAAACTAAGTTGTAGCTAATTAATGAGGATCTTTCAATTAGCTATTGAAACCTTCCAAGAATAAATAACTTGTTGAAGTTGATGGTCAAAACTTACACTTTAACTTGTCCATAGAGAAGATCTAAAATGGGTGCAAAATCAACTACAAGAACTAATTGTCAGCTTTCACATATGCTTGGTTTTTTAAATGTTATGATAAAAGAGAGTAAGGAAACAAGTGCCATCAGTAAGTCAGCAGACTGCCTCGCAAAAATAGAAGTCAACAGCCTGAGTTTGACAACTTACAAAAATTGAAGTACATATCCATGTTTAGTGAATCAGGAACGAATATACTACTGGATGTTACTGCTAGGTAGCATCTCAGGTTCAGCAAAGGTTTCATCCATTCAACATGCGAGCGATACCTTGAAATCATGGAGCAAAGGTTTTCATCTACTGATCGATTTACTGCAACATCTGAGATATGAGAGCCATGATCTGTTAAACAATATACAGATCGACTAAAGTTAGCAAAGAAGGTGACTTAAGGGTTTGTACATATATAACAAAAAATAAGTCTTGGTGCATTCAAATATTTATCTTATTGTTGGTGCTTTTGATCAATTATCTTGAACAACTACAACTATTCATAATATTCCCAATTAAATCAACTTCCTTGTACACTATTTAGTACACAAGATGTAAATAGAAAAGTAACCAACCTACAATGAGCATATAATTTTCCCTATTAACATCTAAGACAGTCAATTGATTATTTGGACGCCAACTACAAGTAGCAGACAGTGTCTCACCAGAAAATACGAAAGAACCAGCGACAATACTGGTATTGGATCTTCAACTAAATCACAAATTAATCATCTAATTGTAAACAACAATAACATCATGTAGGATAACACAAGAACCAAATCGATCAGATGGGGGTGAATGGTAGGAACACCAAAAAAACAAACTTTTAGTGAAATTAAAAGTTACTCTCAAATTCGACGAGGTCAACGTAGTCCGGTCTAATCGTCGTGTGCATACCAGTCTGAGCGCACCCTTGCTGTCAGTCTGATTGGTGTTGTTCGACCGGTCTGACCACATTCCTTATCACTGCAACCTCATGAAGCCACCAGTCCAATCGTCTTGACACCGGCGGTCTAACAGGTGGGTTCTCGCCAATTTGACCGTCGAGATCAGGAAAAACACGATTCAAAGAACTCTCTGAAAGTAGAACAACTTATTGCTTCTAATTGTGTGTACAAAGTGCAACAACAATATTCTTTTCTCAACTTTCAACTAAACTCGAAATCTAGACTAAACCCTATTTTTTCTCTCAACTAGCCTCATACAAAAATCAATACCGAGAGGCCTCAACCCATCTTCTATTTATACCTGGAGGTTGCATCTCAAAAGCCACGAATCCAACTTGTACAAGTAATTCTAATCCACTAGGAAACCTTCCCGTATCAACTTATCTCATTACAATTCAAGCTCCAATCTTTCCAAATTTAGACTCCTTTCAAATTCAACTCAGCATCCCATACGCACAATCTTCTCTTGTTTGCCACATGGAATCTTCATCACCATGTGCACTGTTCTTTAGCCTAAGCATCCTGTATGTTCTCTTAATCATCCGGTCATTATATTCTCCTAGGTTGACTCCTAATTTATTTCCGACAACACTCTCTCGAGGTATCAAGACATACCTACACATTAATCGATCAAGAATTCATATATGAGCATAAGTTATTTCACAACTTGACTCAACACTAGCACCCAACAATATTACATACGTATAGTAATCTAGAAGTTATAAGCATGAAATAATCACAAGTATCCAAATAAACAATCCGAAAACGACTCCAACAAAGAGCTAGGTGGTCTGACCAACCTATTCCACCTAGTCTGACCGGTTCCACACACTTCGCCAATAAACCACCAAATATCAAAACCGATTATCTCACAAGCCAATTGATCATCACACATAATAATAATAATAATAATAATAATAATAATAATAATAATAATAATAATAATAATAATAATAATAATAATAATAATAATAATAATAATAATAATAATAATAGTAAGCACTTTGATTTTACACATTAGAGCAAATATGAGAATATGCATAATCTAGAGCATAATAATATAACACAAGAAATAAGCTGATCTTTGTTACACCCCAAACTCTATCCGCGGATAGAGTAGTAGTGATGACTCAGCACGAACGCCTGATCAATACTATTGCTCGGCACAACGACACCGGTGCCTAGCTATGTCGGGGAGGATAGAGGAGTGGTGGCGGCATGGCAGGCAGCGGTCGCTCGTCGAGGGCACCGTATCCGGCTCCGGTGGCCAACCAGGTTGTATCGCCTCCGCGCTCATGGCCGGTGAGAGCAGAGGTGGCGGCAGCTTGGAGTCGGGGATGGGTTTGTACTTAGGTTTTGATGTCTCAGTTATATACCTGGGATTGGATGGGCCCACCCATCAGCGCTTATTTTCTGGCAGTTAGTTTCGAAACCCGCAAAGATATGTCATTTTCCTGTAGGTTTAAGTTAGACTCGTAAAACAAACATTTTTCCTGTGGGTAGGCTGTAGGATGATAGAAAATAAGCCGGTCCATAGGCTCGCGGCCAAGTCTGGTAGTGCAGCATACAACCTTACAAGGGTTTACTGGGGTTGCTTGTTTTACCTATCGTCATTTAATCATCCTCATCAGATTCAAACATGCTCAACAACTCAGCCACCCGCGCATCTTTTCTTCAGAAAATACCGATCCATCCAGCACAGTCACCACGAAAAGCTACGGTGAGGTGATGAGTGGTGTAAAGCTATGACGGATGTATGCCAAAGCCCAAAGGGTGCTTATTATTTAGTCTCCGCTTTGATCAGCACCATGAATGTAGTAAAGCCGTAAATTAAGGTCTCCGATCCGTGCAGCTATATATTATTACTCGCATGTTGTTAGCATCATGCGTGCAAATCCATGACATATATATATGGAAGCAGACAGGCAGCTACGTCCAATTAAGATTCTCGAGGAAAATAAAACACTAAACAAAATTTTGGATCTACCGTACGTGCTGAATTGCACGCACTCCCAAGTCCTCGATAAAACTACAGATTTCAATCATGGAGTGGACGATGATTTATGAAAGACTCATCGTCGGTCGGCTCGGTCAGTCAATCTTTGATATTGTTCGTCCAAAATGAATATGTTCTGCGCATCTCCTTCATGCTTTTATTAACTGAACAAACACTCTCGATTGGTTGAATGAATCCATCTCCTAGCAAGGATGCTTCGCTTCACCACTGCTCGTCTCCTCCGGCCTCGGTGCCGGCGTCTCTATCATGGCTGCAGCGACGGCGCGGCGGCGTGCAGTGTCGTCGGCGAGAGGGTGACGGTGCTGACCATCGATGGCGGCGGCATCCGGGGGATCATCCCGGGCAAGGTGCTCGAGTTCTTGGAGAACGAGCTCCAGCAGCTGGATGGGCCAGAGGCGAGGCTGGCCGACTACTTCGACTACATCGCCGGGACGAGCACCGGCGGGCTGATCACCGCGATGCTGGCCGCGCCCGGCGCCGGCGGGGACGGACGGCGGCGGCCGCTGTTCGCCGCCAAGGAGATTTGTCCGTTCTACCAGGAGCACGGCCCGCGCATCTTCCCCCAGAGGTGGTGCAAGCTCGCCTCCACTGTCGCCGCGGTGTGGGGGCCCAAGTACAACGGTAGGTACCTCCGCAACATGGTCCGGGAGGTGCTCGGCGAAATGACGGTGGGCGACACGCTCACCAATGTCGTCATCCCCACCTTCGACGTCCGTCTGCTCCAGCCCGTCATCTTCTCCACATACGACGTATGTGCGTGCGCCATTGATGTTTCATGTTTGGTTTGATAGCTGAACAGCTGAAGGAAAACTGTTTCTGAATTGGGGTGTGTGTGTGTCTGTGCAGGCTAAGCATTCGCCTTTGAAGAACGCGCTGCTCTCCGACGTCTGCATCGGCACGTCGGCGGCGCCGACGTACCTCCCCGCGCACTGCTTCCGGACACACGACGGCGCCGGCGAAACGCGCGAGTACAACCTCATCGACGGCGGCGTCGCTGCCAACAATCCTGTACAGTATTATTCCATCAGATTTGTAATTCATACTTCTTCCATTCCAAAATATGAGAAATTGGTAGTGCTAGAATGTGTCTCATTTAGTACTAGCTCCTTATATTCTTTTTTCAGACGATGGTAGCCATGACGATGATCACGGAGGAGATGATAGCAGAGGAGAAGGCACGGTTGTTCTTGGCGAAGCCGCCGGAGGAGTGCGGGCGGTTCCTGCTGCTGTCCATCGGCACCGGATTGGCCTCCGACGAGGGGCTGTACACGGCGGAGAAGTGCTCCCGGTGGGGGACGCTCGGGTGGCTGCGGCACAGGGGCATGGCGCCCATCATCGACATCTTCATGGCGGGGAGCTCCGACATGGTCGACATCCACATCGGCGTCAAGTTCCAGCTGCTCCACATTGAGCGTAACTACCTCCGCATCCAGGAATACCAGGACTACGACCCGCTCAAGGCCACGGCGGCGGCGGCGCTGGACGAGGCGACGCCGGAGAACATGAGGAACCTCGTCGGCGTCGGCGAGCGCATGCTGGAGCAGCAGGTTACGAGGGTCAACGTGGAGACCGGGAGGTACGAGAAGGTCTCCGACGAGGGGAGCAACGCCGACGCGCTCATCAGGATGGCGAGGCAGCTCTCGGAGGAGAGGACGGCGAGGCTGCAGCGGCGGATGGGCGAAGTGACGGCGGCCAGTGCCTGTGCCACTGGGTTTTAGCGACTATCATCATCGCCCAGTGCGACAGTTCCAAAATGCTTACGTTTCCGGTTGATTAATTTCAAACCTCAACGAAGAAATGTTTCACGTTTCGGCTATCAACCACCTTGTCAAAGTAAAAAATTTCAACGCCTATCGAAATTCTCAAATTTTGACCATAAAATTAACACTAGCAACCAATATTAATTATTAAGTTCAACTTGAAAAAGATGTAGTACTACGTGCTGGAGTAGAATTAAGAAATTGCTATATAATTCTGTCGCCATATTTCTATCCGACCTGATGTGAGTTTGTAAGCGTCCAGATCCATATACCGTTAATTTCACAATTTATTCTGTGTCATGATACAGGAAAGGGCGCTAAGAGTGACGGCGAATTCTTTTGAGAAAACTCCCTATGCGTCGCCCACTCCCTTTTATACCTCTGAGATTTGCTTATTTCCTTTCATACCCCTAAATTTCAGTTTGGATCCTTTGTATATTTCTTCTGTTAGTTGACCGTTAAAATTCCTATCATAAAGTCCATTTTGCCTTTTGGTATCAAGAAAATATAAACTTATCAACTATATTGATGGAGTATATAATTAAACTCATAAATATAAAAGTCACATACAATAAATTTATACACTCCATCAATATATTTCATAACTTATATTTTCTAATACCAAAAGACAAAATGGATATTATGATAAGAATTTAACGGTCAACTAACGGAAAATGTATAGAAGGGATCCAAACTAAAATTTAGAGATACGGAAGAAAAGGAGCAAATCTCTAAGGTATAGAAGGGATTGATACATTGGGTGAACTTTTAAGGATATATAGGGAATTTTCTCAATTCTTTTAGGTGCAAGTACGTGCACTTGTAAAGTTAATAGACATTTAGACAACTTTGATGGGTTAGAACAAATTACCACACCACCTAGCCATCATAGATTAGTTTGCCCCGCCAAGATAGCTTAATTCTACACTTATTACACATTTTGAGTTGTGTGTGTATATATAAAAATTAACTGGGTCACATGGTACACATACATACATACAGCCTCCGTTGAGTTTTATCAGTGATATGATCATCCTAGTGGTAAAGTTCATCATTCTCAGGCAATTAGCAGTTGCATCACTGTTTCCTTCTACCATCTTCTTGAGCTCCCTGGGAAAGCTAAATGCAGAATCTCCTGGGACAATTTTATCAGCCAGTTGAGTCAAAGCTGTATCATCAGTGTTCAGTGATAGATTTTTCAAACAATGCTGCACTAATTGACAGTAAAGCTGCATGCAGTTTCCTGTTCACATTTTTCTTATTGATATCGTCTTTTTGCTTATTAAGGTAGTATTTGGTTGCAAGGATGGGATGGGGCGAACCCACTTTTATGGGTGTTTGGTTTAGGGGTTAGTAGATTGGGTTAGTCCCTGGAGATCGAGGAATATTCCTCTCAGATCTGGTACCAACCGATCTGGCAAAATCGGCCGAATGAACTCGTCCCACATGGGATGAGCGCATGGCGTGGGCCACGCCGCTTTGCCCCTCTCACGTGCGCTGTCGTCCTGCCCGCTCGCTCACCCTAGGGAAAGCCGGATCCACCGCCCTCGAGAGCGCCTGCGGTGACGACGACGACAACGGCGGGCTCGGCGATGGCGGCGGTGGGGGCCTTGGTGGATCCAGTGGTGGGGAGACAGCGAATCCAGTGATGGGAGAGCGGCGGATACAATGGTGGGGAGGGCGGCGGCGGCGGATCCAGTGATGGGGAGGGTTGCAGCAGTAGATCCGGGGGCGGGGGACTCACGGTGGCGGATCCGCCGTGCGAGCTCCGGTCGCGGCGACGACATCGATGGTCGTTGGCAGCGGCATACGGCAATCGTCGCACTCCTCCGCCCCCCCCCCCCCCGGCTGTCATCGAGACGGAGCTCCTCCGCTCGCTAGGCTGTCGTCGCGCATCTCCGTCCGCCGTCCTCCATCCTCCATCTTGTGAGCCTGCCCTCGCCGCTCTTCCTCTTCCTCGCCGCAGGCTTGCTTGCCTGCCCACCAACCCATCTCGCGCACCGCGCTTGCTTGTGAACTCTACCGGCTTGCTCGCCCACATGACTGCCCGGTCGTCGACGGTGGTTGCAAACGGCGTCCACCCCATCTCTACCTTATCCCTTCATAAAAAAAATAGGATCGTCCCATCCTACAAACATTAGAGTGGAATCATCCCAACCCAAAATCAGGGAAATCAGGGATGGTTCCATCCCATCCCACGTAGTTTTGAAACCAAACACATGCTAACTTTGCCTTCATCTTGCAAAAGAACAGGATCTGGGCCTTTTTCAGGGTCCGGATTTTGTGACGGAAGCTTGTTTCTTTTTATGGCTTTTCTGTTTTCTTTTCTTCTTGCTTTGGTGGAAAGAGAAGTTTTTTTTTAGCACTTGAAACAGCAAAATTATGTTTAGTTTGACAGGGATAGAGATGCAAGATGCAATCTATTATATTATTAAGACAGCTCGAAAAGGAGGCACCACGTTCGCTGTGGAGGCTAGAAATTCCCACGTTAATCGGAGAAAAAGAAAAAAAAGAAAAGGAGAGTCCAAGTAGGAATACAATCTAAAAATAGCTGAAATTCAGAATTAAAAATAAGCAATATTGAAAGAAGTTTCCATATAAGAACTCAATACGAGATTAATCAAAATTCGAAATAAAAATAAAATAAAATCCAAAATTAGAAAAGGAAAGAAAAGTCCAAGTAGGAATACAATTTAAAAATAGCTGAAATTCGGAATTAAAAATAAGCAATATTGAAAGAAGTTTCCATATAAGAACCCAATACGAGATTAATCAAAATTCAAAATTAAAATAAAAAAAATCCAAAATTAGAAAAGGAAAGGAGAGTCCAAGTAGGAATACAATTTAAAAATAGCTGAAATTCGGAATTAAAAATAAGTAATATAGAAAGAAGTTTTCATATAAGAACCAAATACAAACTCAATACGAGATTAATCAAAATTTGAAATAAAAATAAAATAAAATCCAAAATTAGAAAAGGAAAGGAGAGTCAAGTAGGAATACAATTTAAAAATAGCTGAATTTCAGAATTAAAAATAAAGAATATTAAAAGAAGAGTCCATATAAGAACTCAATACGAGATTAATTAACATTCGAAATAAAAATAAAAATAAATCCAAAATTAGCAAAAGAAAATAAAAGAAGAGTTAAGTAGGAATATAATTTATCAAAATTAAAAATAAGCAATATTGAAAGAAGAATCTATATAAGAACCCAATACTAGATTAATTAAAATTTCGGAATTAAAAATAAGCAATATTGAAAGAAGTTTCCATATAAGAACCCAATACGAGATTAATCAAAATTCGAAATAAAAATAAAATAAAATCCAAAATTAGAAAAGGAAAGAAGAGTCCAAGTAGGAATACAATTTAAAAATAGCTGAAATTCGGAATTAAAAATAAGCAATATTGAAAGAAGTTTCCATATAAGAAACCAATACGAGATTAATCAAAATTCGAAATTAAAATTAAAAAAATCCAAAATTAGAAAAGGAAATGAGAGTCCAAGTAGGAATACAATTTAAAAATAGCTGAAATTCGGAATTAAAAATAAGTAATATTGAAAGAAGTTTCCATATAAGAACCCAATACGAGATTAATCAAAATTTGAAATAAAAATAAGATAAAATCCAAAATTAGAAAAGAAAAGGAGGGTCCAAGTAGGAATACAATTTAAAAATAGCTGAATTTCGGAATTAAAAAATAAAGAATATTAAAAGAAGAGTCCATATAAGAACCCAATACGAGATTAATTAAAATTCGAAATAAAAATAAAATAAAATCCAAAATTAGAAAAAGAAAATAAAAGAAGAGTTAAGTAGGAATAAAATTTAAAATTAGCTGAAATTCAAAATTAAAAATAAGCAATATTGAAAGAAGAATCCATATAAGAACCCAATACGAGATTAATTAAAATTTCGAATAAAAAATAAAATAATATCCAAAATTAGAAAAATTAAAAGAGAGTTTAAGTAGGAATACAATTTTTAAATAACTGAAATTGAAAATAAAAAATAAAAATATTAAAAGAACACAATACAGTATTAACTAAATTTTTTTTAAAAAATAAATTCTGAAATTAGAAAAAGAAAAATAATATTTCAATTAGGAATACAATTTATAAATAACTAAAATTTGTGATAAAAATAAAGACTATTGAAAGAAAAGACCATCTAAAACACATGACGAGATAAATTAAGTAACAGGTCTATAAAGGAGTTGTCGGTGACATGGGACCGGGAGTATCGTGACTAGAGGTTTGGGCAGCCGCGCTCACCCACGTGGCCTGACCACCTCGGGGGGGTCGGGCCCGAGGGTGACGTGGCCACCCCTCCCTCTGTCTCCCCGAGGGGTCGGGCCGCTCCCGTCTCAGCCCCGAGGGCTGGGGCGCCCCGACCCCCTATGGTGTTGGCACCACGTGTGTGGGTTAGGTGAGCACAGCGGCGCTCACCTAACCGCACTTATTGCGGGTTGGACGAGCGCGCCACGCCGCATTTAATGCAAGCGCAGCGCGCTCGCTTATCCGGTCCGTGACCGGTCGCAGTACGTGACCGGTCACAGACCGGTCAGATCGCGGGTTAGGTGGCAACAGGCGGCCTGACACTCGTCTCGCCCCGTCCCGTCGGAATGATGAGAGCCTCCAGGCACTCGTCCCTAGCCGGAGCCGGCGTGGTAACTCCTGGAGTTGGCACGTCAGTCCCTGCTAGATTCATGCCAGGCTTCATCGCAACCATTGCAAGGAAGTCATTGTATGAAGAAGGACAGATGTGCGGCATGCTAAATTGACGCGTGGTGGACAAGAATGACCGGTCTGTGACTGGTCTGACGCCGGTCACGTCATCGGCAGACAAACCGTGCTCCCATGTTGTATTTTCTTCCGGCGAAGTGGAGGTAGGTATGACCCATCCCATCGGAGGGTCATTCGGACAGCAGCCATTGTAAATCCTTACCCAAAAGAAGGGGAGGTAGAAGTGGTGCATGTGGTATCCCCTTGAGATATAAAAGGAGGACCTTGCCCACCGAAGAGGGGGGGGGGAGATCCAGATCCAGAACAAGAAAAAAGAGGAAAAGAAGGAGAGAAAGAGGAAGAGGGGTTCTAGAGCCTGTACTCTCTTGCTTTCCAGTTCTCTGTAACTCCTTCACACACAGATCCACCATAACACAGGAGTAGGGTATTACGCTTCTCAGCGGCCCGAACCTGTATACATCGCCCGTGTCTTGTGCATTTGCTCTCTCGCGAACATTCCACAGATCGAGGGTGAAGAACCTCACTTAGCGCCCCCGGCCGAACCGGCAAAGGGGGGCCTGCGCGGTCTCCCGGTGAGGAGCCCCACGCTCCGTCATCTGGCGTGCCAGGTAGGGGGCGCGTGTGTCTTTCTAAGCCCTCGTCCTCTTTCGTGTGCCCCAAGCTTCTCCTGTTCAGCCCAATGGCCGAACG